GGTCTCAGTCTCCACACAGACTGAGGTCTCAGTCTCCACACAGACTGAGGTCTCAGTCTCCACACAGACTGAGGTCTCAGTCTCCACACAGACTGAGTTCTCAGTCTCCATAGACTTAAATCTCATCTACACAGGCTGAGATCTCAATCTACACAAGCTGAGATCTCAATATACACAGGCTGAGATATCAGTCTCCACAGGCTGAGATATCAGTCTCCACAGACTGAGGTCTCAGTCTCCACAGACAGAGGTCTCAGTCTCAATAGACTGAGGTCTCAGTCTCCACACACTGAGATCTTAGTCTCCACACACTGAGGTCTTAGTCTCCACAGACTGAGGTCTGAGTCTCCACAGACAGAGTTCTCAGACTTCACCGAGAGAGTTCTCAGTCTCCACAGACTAAGGTCTCAATTTCCACAATCTCCGCAGACTGGAGTCTCAGTCTCGACAGACTTAGGTCTCAGTCTTCACAGACTGAGGTCTCAGTCTCGACAGACTGAAGTCACAGTCTCCACTGACTGAATTCTCAGTCTCCACAGACTGAGGTCTCAGTCTCCACACAATGAGGCTTCAGTCTCCTCAGACTGAGGTCGCAGTCTCCAAAGATTGAAGTCTCAGTTTCCAAAAACTGGAGTTTGTGGAAACCAAAGCCCCACGATTTCTTCTCCTGTCCTACATTTTCAAAATTGTGATTGTAATAAGCTATTATTATAATTTTAGCCAGACCTGTAGATTTTATCCTCCGACATAGTTGCGATGTGACATGAGTGTGTCTCTTGTTTTTATTTTTTTGGTCTGGTCGACTTTTTGGCAAAAACAACCAAACAGCGACACATAAATTTAACAGACAATTTGTCGCTGTTTTTCACTGACGTTGTTCTTGTTTATTCACCTCATTGGGTAGCGCGATAGATAGTGCAATATGAAGTGAGGGAGGGGGAGGGGGGGTCAGCAAATGTACCCAAAATGTTCTTGACAACATCAGTTTATGCAATCAATTTGTGGTGATATTTGTTCGGTTTCCTAACGAAAAAAATGATTTTTTTTATTTCAAAATAAAGAAAACAATTGCAGGCAACGTAGGATGATTAAGTGCAATATTGCCTTTTTTTGGTTTAAAAATAGAACTGAATTTGCAGGAAAAAGTAACAACAATGCGCTGAAATAAAATAAAACAAATGTGGAAATTGTTGATTGCACCTCTTTAAATACTCATTATGACTCAGAAGTGAATGAACCGTATCGGGGAAAAGAAAATAACGAAATGTGAATTTTGAAATAAATATTCCGATAATGGGTATATATTTATAGGTGAGTCAACAAAGGGTGGAAAAATAATGAAATACATTGTTCCACAAAATGAATTATTCAAAGAGTTACAAAAGAAAAAATAAAAAAATGAATTAAATATAAAAAAAGAAAATTGACCTTCTTCCAGGGAATTCCAGAACAAATTGGAAAATAGAAATTTTTAAATTTTTTATAACTTCCCTGAAATATTTCCAAAAAAAAAGAAAGATAACAACGCTCATATTTTTATTAAAAAAAGTCATCCCAGCCACAAAAAAAATCATCTGAAACCCTAATTGTTCCCTACTTCCATAAAGCATGTCTCCTCCCGAAAAAGTACTACATTTTAATTCTTCTTTCCAAGTGACTTTCGGCTGCACATTGATCATGCACAGATGGTCATAACAGCCAAACCGATCTATTCTATTGCAATCTGTCCAAGAATACAACACATCATCAATTTCTGTTGTTGTTGTAGTTTTTTCTATCGTTGTCAACATGCAACTATTTTGGGGTTCTCATTCTAGCACGACGACAACATTTAACATCTGTTGCCACAGCTAAAACCAAAACAGCCAACGCATCATGTGAATGTGGGCCAATACAAATTCGGGTGTTTGAAAACATTTTCAGCTCCGCTAGTCAGTCAGTCGTTTGACATTTATCGGTAGCTGCTGTGTAACATAGTTGTGTCGTTATTTATTGCTTAAAGGCCCTACAATGTGCAACTTGAATATATGGGGAGAGTGAGACCTTAGTGTAGGGTGACTGGGAACTCACTCTATGAAGAATGAGATCTCAGTCTGTGGAGACTGAGACCTGAGTCTATGGAGACTGAGACCTAAGTCTTTGGAGACTGAGACCTAAGTCTTTGGAGACTGAGACCTCAGTCTTTGGAGACTGAGACCTCAGTCTAAGGATACTGAGACCTCAGTCTATGGAGACTTGGACCTCAGTTTTTGGAGACTGAGAACTCAGTCTATGGAGACTGAGACCTTAGGCTATGGAGACGTAGACCTCAGTCTTTGGAGACTGAGACCTCAGTCTGTGGAGACTTGGACCTCAGTCTTTGGAGACTGAGAACTCAGTCTATGGAGACTGAGACCTTAGGCTATGGAGACGTAGACCTCAGTCTTTGGAGACTGAGACCTCAGTCTGTGGAGACTGAGACCTCAGTCTGTGGAGACTGAGACCTCAGTCTTCGGAGACTGAGACTTCAGTCTGTGGAGACTGAGACCTCAGTCTGTGGAGACTGAGAACAAAGTATTTGGAGACTGAGACCTCAGTCTGTGGAGACTGAGACCTCAGTCTGTGGAGACTGAGACCTCAGTCTTCGGAGACTGAGACTTCAGTCTGTGGAGACTGAGACCTCAGTCTGTGGAGACTGAGAACAAAGTATTTGGAGACTGAGACCTCAGTCTGTGGAGACTGAGACCTCAGTCTGTGGAGACTGAGACCTCAATCTGTGGAGACTGAGACCTCAGTCTATGGAGACTGAGAGCTCAGTCTGTCTCAGTCTCCATAGACATGTGGAGACTGGGACCTCAGTCTGTGTGGAGACTGAGACCTCAGTCTGTGTGGAGACTGAGACCTCAGTCTGTGGAGTTTGAAACCTCAGTCTGTGGAGACTGAGACCTCAGTCTATGGAGACTGAGACCTCAGTCTATGGAGACTGAGACCTCAGTCTGTGGAGACTGAGACCTCAGTCTGTGTGGAGACTGAGACCTCAGTCTGTGTGGAGACTGAGACCTCAGTCTGTGTGGAGACTGAGACCTCAGTCTGTGTGGAGACTGAGACCTCAGTCTGTGTGGAGACTGAGACCTCAGTCTGTGTGGAGACTGAGACCTCAGTCTGTGTGGAGACTGAGACCTCAGTCTGTGTGGAGACTGAGACCTCAGTCTGTGTGGAGACTGAGACCTCAGTCTGTGTGGAGACTGAGACCTCAGTCTGTGTGGAGACTGAGACCTCAGTCTGTGTGGAGACTGAGACCTCAGTCTGTGTGGAGACTGAGACCTCAGTCTGTGTGGAGACTGAGACCTCAGTCTGTGTGGAGACTGAGACCTCAGTCTGTGTGGAGACTGAGACCTCAGTCTGTGTGGAGACTGAGACCTCAGTCTGTGTGGAGACTGAGACCTCAGTCTGTGTGGAGACTGAGGCCTCAGTCTGTGGAGACTGAGACCTCAGTCTGTGGAGACTGATACCACAGTCTGTGGAGACTGAGCCCTCAGTCTGTAGGGACTATGTTCTCAATCTGTGGAGACTCAGAACTTGAATTGATGTCCTTTCTTGGAACTTATATGTATTCAAATTGTGTAGATCTTTTATAAATTGTCTGCAACCTCTACCCACCCTTTGTTGCTTATGTGTCATTATTTCTTCCTTTGAATTACGCATCATTTGATAATTTGTTGTTGTTGTTATTTCGTATTTTTTTCATTTCACAAGAATAGAAAAAATACGCAAAATATGTTGCAATAATTCTTCCCTGTTTTCCCAGTCCAACGTTGTGGTGTCCGCAGTGAGGATTCTCACCGCCGAAAATTTCTACGTATTTTACAAAATTTTATGTTGCAATTAAATATTGAAAATTGCATCATTCGATTGTAATATTCCTGGCTGTTGTCTCTCTTTTGTTTATCGTCTTCAGCTTCTGGGATGGCCGAGCAAAAATGGGGGATAATTGGGAGGTTGGTTATGTCGTTTTGCTGCGGTGGTGGTAGTGGTGTTAGGATTGTGGTTTTCTTGTGGACTGCATTAGAGGCACTTGTTGTTGTTTATTTTATCACAACACTGGTGTTGAGGGGAAAGGTATCAACTATGGAATTTTTTGAAAATATTTTTAAGTATTTGATTTTTTAGGAAAATGTTAAAGGATCAATTGCCGATTTTTTGAAATTTTTTTTAAATAAATCATCATGGATTTTTTATTAAGAATTTATTTTTGTTTGAATATTGTTGTTAAACATATTTTCAAAAAATAAAAAAAAAAAATAAAAAGCATTAAAGAAATTTCTGAAGAAAAATGATAGCCTTTAAAAAGGCCCATCTCTGACATTTAGGAATACTTTTAACACTTATTTGAAAACTGAGATAATTTTCCATTGCTGGTGCAATCCTTTGCAACCGACAGTTCTGGCTGCATGACATACTGCATCACCAGCATCGTCGTCACTCACAACAAACTGCAGAATATTTGGATATTTTCGGAAAGTGATTTTTATTTTTTTTGTAATTTTTTTCTTTTTCAGATTTCGTTTTGCTTTTTCTAAAAAATCGTCTGATTTTCGTTTCTGTTGCGGTGGTTTATTTTTGTGTGGTGAGTGCACAAATGGTTGGTCGGTCGGTCGGTTGGTTGATCTTTTCTGTACGGGTTGTGGTACCACCTTTTGTGGGACTGGCTGGCTGGCTGGTTGGTCGTTACAACCAACCGCTAGTCCGCTACCATGCACTGCCATAAAATGCAACGGCAACCACCTCCCTCGCCTAATCGAATGTGAGAATTTCTGTTTGTTTGTGCATGACATGGGCCTAGAACAACAACAAAACAGTAGAAAAAAGGGGGGGGGGGTACTGGGAGGATATTTGCTATGACTGTTTTGTTGGTGTTTTTTGTTATTTGCCATGTGACGAATGGTGGGCAACAGTACTCGCACTCGCATTGGCTTCGCACCGCATCGCATCAGATCGTCGTTTATTTGTTCGCTGGGTTCTTTGCGGTCAGTTTAGTTGTTGGTCGCACTTTAGTTGAGTTGTGTTGCCGTTCTGTTCAGTTTATCGTGTGCACTGATACGAGCTGGTATCGCGCATCTCCTCGCCATTACTAAAGGAATGTTCGCGGTAAGAAAACGTGAATAAACACGCCGGTACGACTTTTTCCTGTCCAACATCGAGCAATTCACTTTTTGTTGGGGGATCGTTCGTTCGTTCGCTCTGGTGTCGATTAATGAAAACGTGACGTTTTGCTCATCAGATGTGTGAGAGATGGCGCGCGTTTGTCTGGTCTGAAAAACCGAAAAAAAAACAGAACAAAAAAATAAATAAATAAATGAAACGAAATAAAAAATGAATTCAAGTGTTGTGACTTTTGGTTGCCCTATAAAAAATGTGAGTGTATGTTTGTGTGTGTGTGTGTGAATCGATGTGATAAGGAAACGATAACTTCTTTGCTAGATAAAGAAGGAGGAAGGAACATAAGTAAAAATGGTGTTGAGTGCGACCGCAACGAGCCCATTTGTGACCTTTACTGTAAGGAGAATTGTGGAATTTTGAAAATGTTTAAGTTCGAAAAATTGGGTTAAAATTGAAAATTAATCCTAATTAATTTTAGGATTCCTTACAAATAAGCCAAAGTGAAAATATTTAAAATCGCCCGAAATACCTTTTATGTATAGAGGCATTGCCGAAAAATTTTAGACTTGTGCCAAACCCACTAAAACAAGAAAAAAATCAAAAATTTATCTAAATCGGCGAAAAAATGATTAAATACCTTTAATTAAGCGAGATCATATTGCGGGGCGGGGTGGAAAGTGGTCTTATAAAAATATGCATTTTTAAGCCCCACCGAAACATATTTGTGGTTAGAATTTTCAAAATACCTGATATCGAAATATATTCTGCTATGTTTTGGAAAGAATCCCACCAAGTGGATCTGGATGAAATCATTTTTGCTGCAAGATGAATTTCAATATTTAAATGTGCATTGAAGGATTATCGTCCTTGATTTTTACGACTTAATTTCGTAGAAAACCTTATTTTAGCAATTTTCTTATTTTTTAAGAATTTTCCTTTGAATTATTAAAGCTGTTGTCCTGCTTGATTTTTATGGAAGGTTTTGATTTTTAAACAAAATTAATTTAAGCATCCATTTCTGTGCGAATACTATTTTGAGAATTTTCCCAACAATTATACCGAATTTTTAAAATATTTTTTTCAAGGATTATTTTTTCAACAAGTACTTTTTAAATATTTTTTAGATAAAAAAATTTTTATTTTAAAAATAAAATTTAAGAAAATTTCGAATGAGAAACCGTAAATTAAAAAAAAAATAAATTTAAAAAAATTAATAAAATTTAAAATATTATAAAATTTAAAATATTATTTTTTTTGTCATAGAAGTTATTTTTAAAATAACTTCTGGGGAGAATATCCCAGACAAAAACAAGGGAACTGATGAGGATTGGTGGCTCTTTCCGAAACCTAGGTATTCCCTGCCTTACCCCCTGGTAAACATTACCATCGTTCTCCACTAATAAACAAACGTTGTTTTTATAAAAACAACAATAAAGGGATAAAGCCAGACCATTTTGCAACAACAAAATACTACGGTATCCCGAACAAACAAGCCACACTGTTCTATTTTCAAAGATTATTTTTTAAACGACTACTATTTAAATATATTTTAGATAAAAATTTTTTTATTTTATAACCAAAATTTAAGAACATTTCAAAAGAAAGAGCGTAAATTTAAAACAAAATTAATTTAAAAAAAATTAATAAAATTATTAAATGTAGAAAAAAATGGATAAGAAATTAAAAGAAAAATTAAAAATAATTTTTTTAAAAACAAACTTTAAGAAAATTTCAAAAGAAAAAGCGTAAATTAAAAAAAAATATTTTAAAAAAATTAACAAAATTATTAAATATAGAAAAAAATGGGTAAGAAATTGAAAGAAAAATTAAAAATAATTTAACTATTCAAAAAAAAAATTTTTTTTGTTAATTAAAAAAATATTTTTTTGGGACGTTAATTTAAAAAATGTATTTTTTTAAGATTTTTTTTTAAAATACAGGATGAATTAAAAAAAACTGTAACAAAGTCAAACGCCATAATTTTTAAATTTTTTTTGAATGAATGAATGAATGAAAGCAAAAAATGTTGGAAATAGCATCAAATTTTAGAATAAGTTTAGATTTGTTCGAATTGGTCATTTTTGGCACGAATTATGGCCTTCAAAAGGCCAATGAAACAGTCACACGCTACCCGAATGTTGCTCTGCGGTATTTTGGCCCATTCCCGGCGAAGCGCTTGCTTGAGGTGATCGACACTTTGGTAATTTTTAGTGCCAACCTTGCTTTCCAAAATACTCCAGGCATAATAGCCCAACGGATTGATATCCGGAGATTATGGTGACCATTGTGCGCTGGAAATGAAGCGAGGAACTTCATTTTGTAATCATTCTTGGGTGGCGATGGTGCTGAGTCCTGTTGGAATGTCCAAGGTCTGCGGACAAAATGTTTGCGTGCCCGAGGCTTTAATACCCCCTCCAGAATATTTTCCCGATAATATTCGGCATTTATTTTGTTGCCACGGTAGACTAATACTTGCGGAGAGCGATAATCGTCTGTTATGGTAGCCCATCCCATCACCATGGCCGGCGAAGGTGCACATTTTCAGCTGATCTCTTTGGCAAGTAAACACGATAATTTTGTTTGTTTACAAACTGCTGGACAACGAATGTTTTCTCATCGGAGAAACCCGAATTCGGCAGTTCACCATTTCGGCCAAGGGAAGCAACTCTTAAGCTCTTTTGAGTCCATTTTCTTTCTGTCGCGGTGTAAGTTCTTGCACTTTTTAAAATTTCAGTGGCTTTATCCCGAGCTCATTTTTCAATATTTGCCGAATAGAATATTGCGATATGTTCAGCTCACGCTTCAGTCGCTTCTTTACTCTTCGAACCATTACTGTTGTTTTCATCCGTCCACTTCCTTGACGTCGGGCTAGGCTAACAAGCGATGGTACGAGACACAAAAAATGTATTCACATTTAAATGCTGGAGTGCTCTAACGATAGCCACTCGAGGTTTTCCAGCCTCCATATAAAGAAATCACACTATCACGCTTGAATTCCATCACGTATAATTTTTTTTCTGGAAAATTCTTACCAAAATGCTTTTGTACGCTTGTAAACAATATAATGAGCTGTCACTGGAATAATTTTAACAGCTGTCGGATGCAAGTGGTTTAGAAATGACAGCAGTCGGAAGTTGGTTGCAGTTTTTTCATCTCACCCTATATATATATATATATATAATATATATATATAATATATATATATAATATATATATATATATATATATATATATATATATATATATATATATATATATATATATATATATATATATATATATATATATATATATATATATATATATATAAATATATATATATATTTTTTTTTTTTTTTTATTTTTTATTTTATTATTTAATTAAGAGTATGTTTTTAACTAAAAAAACTTTAATTTTTTAATCGATTTTTTTATTTTGTTTTGGAAATTTATTTTTTATATTATATTATTTAATTTTCTATTTTGTGTATTTTTATTTAAGTTTTTCTTTTCAATTTCAACTTATTTTTTTACGAATTTTTCAAAATGGTTCAAAATATTTCTTCTAAGTTTTTTTCTGATGTTTCGAAAATAGCTTTTCTAAGAGTTGTGTTAATTGTGTTTTTTAAAACTATTAATGAATACTTGCTTTAAATGAGTATTAAAACAAATATTTCTTTAGCTCGATCGTCGGTCATTTGTAGGGCGAAGTTAATCTTGTAACATGATAAATTTGAATACTTTCCTCTCAGAAGTATGACTCGTAATTTTGATTGATTATATCAACTCCGTTTGTTTTTTACTTTCATTCCTTGCCACTCCATCGAAAATTAAATAATTATCTCAGCTAATAAAAATCAATTAATTTTTAATTCTTAACAGAAATTAATTAATTTCCCAAAACAGACAAAAAACCTTGAAACTTCATTTCATCACTTACTCACCAAGTCACTCATTCAACTCTACTTCTACTCTTCTAGATCGTCCACAATTTGTGATATTCGATATTTATTCACATTTTTCAATTTTCAATACTCCGGCTTAGACTGTAGCAAATCTTGTGCGTCGCATTTTAATCCCTTCTAATTCCGTCCATGAATTTCGTAATAAAGTTTATGGCCTATCTGCTATCTAATGTGAGGCACTTCAACGGGTCACGTCCACAAGCCGACGCCCTATTATCCGAAAAATAAAAACAACAACACAGAAATAACAGAATCTTCCCGTGATGTCTAGTGTTCGAAACAGATGTTATTGAGTTATTTTGTTATTGTTGTTTTGAAAAAAAAAACTGAATGTTAACAATAAATTAGTTACAAATTTACATACACACTTCATTACAAACATATATACAAAGAGACCTTAGCAATAATATAAAGGGCCGGGGTAGAGGAATGAAGAGGTTAATTGGTAGACAGACATAGAGAGAAATATGTATATAAGCGCTTAGTCATAGAAAAGCTTTGTTTTTCAGTTACCTGAGGATTTTCAAAATTTTTGGAAATAGAGAAATAAAATAATGAAAAAATCTTAGTGAACATTAAAAAAGTACTCAAAATTTTAAAAATGTATTTAATGCTTTGTTGGCGAAAAGGAAAAAAATATTCATAAGAAGGTCCACGTTCTTCTGTTCTTAAAAAAATAATCAAAAACGAATCAAAAACTCCACATTAAAAAAATAAATATTTAAATATAAATACAAATGGGGGAAATACCAGAATATTTATATATTCCATGTTTGGATAGAATCGCTGAGTGTCACATGAGTATTTAAAATTACGACCCTTTATGGGGAAGGTAACAGAAGGGCTAAGCCGATATCTATCACCTTCACACAACATCTTGTGTTATGAGAAATATTGAGATGTGTGAAATTTTAAGATTGTTTAGTCAGAAATTTGACCCTTTTGTGGGGGAGGTACCAGATTTCCCATTTTCTCATCAGATCTCCTGTTATGAATGAAAATATGAAGTGTGTAATTTGAAGAGAATCGGATGCTTATTTTGCATTACAGGAGAGTGAAAATTATTCAAAATTCTGACCCTTTGGTGGTCGAGGTACCAGAAGGAGAGGTCCGACATATTCCATATTTACCCCAGACCATGTGTTATCAAAAATATTTTAATGCGTGAAATTGGAAAAGAATCGGATGCTTATTTTGCATTTCAGGGGAGTGAAAATTATTCAAAATTTTGACCAGAAGGAGGGGTCCGACACATTCTGCATTAACACCAGACCATGTGTTATCAAAAATATTTTGATGCGTGAAATTTTA